CCTTTTTTTTTTTTTTGCGTTGGACCCTGTCTGACCCTGTCGCATCCATAACTTTAAGAATGACCTTGGTTTCGATCAATTCGTATTCATCCTTGGATATCCGTTGCTAGATCCGAGATAATGCACGTCTTTATTGATACTTATTGAGTTCTTAGATACGGTATCTTATCACTGTACGCAACATAAGCGCTAAGTTTAGTGGTTGATCCTCTCTGCATAACTAAGATCTGGACTAGCATGACAATACAAGCAGTTGGCAAAAGAAGACCACATAGACTTCGCATGCTTCTTAAATGACATAATCTGATGTAAGGCTCTGGTACTGATAATGAAGCCTTGTGGCCTTGATGAATACATCTATTGTGGTGAGAAACTTTGCTTGGGATTGCTTGGTTTAGCTGCTTGACTTGCTGCTCGTCCATTCTCTATACGGAGCAGTACATGATTATAGTTGGCGTGTATCTGTTAGAACCCTTTTCATGTAAAAATTGCACCGAATGTCAGCTGTTCGCTGGCGAGTCGATGATGCCTGTTCTTCTTTGAAGCACTCACGCAGGGGTATGCGTCTCTCCATGTAGTGTCATGACAACACTGCAGTACATCCTTTATGAGGATATACTTGTTTATGGGAGGAAACACTAGCTTAAAAGAGAAAGGAGAGTCAATCTACTAGTGTTCTCTGAGATAGATCAACGAATTCCCAGACAATTGATCTAGAATGGCTTCATATTAAATTTCATCATACGTCTTCAGGGTAAGTGTCGTGCCATGAGACCATGTCAAAGCGGACATGATTTAGAGGCTGAAATTGCCAGCCGGGCCATTTAACGAGTGGATTCCGGAAGCTGCGGAGCGGCTGAATCAGAGACAAGAGGTAATTACATGCATTTGCTTCTTACTGAAGAAAGACTGTGGCGCATACTCAAGTTGGCAGCCAAAAGAGTAATTGTGAGCCTAGAACAGCTTGATTTGGTCAGTGATTCTGTTGAATCTGTAGAGCTCCAGTTACAGAGACGCGTCTGAAGTACGCGTTTACTCAACACACGTCATTCCCCACAAGGGTCACCAGCCACGATATGTACCCCTCCACGCCACAGACGACAGTAGCTGGGATAGGCCAGGCTCAGCGGTGTGAAAGAAAGTGACATCTTTACTACGGTAGGTCGTAGTCTTGGGACGGCACCTTATTAATTAACCAAGTCCCCAGAATTAATTCTCGACCCATCATCCCATCCCATCATCTTCAGAAACAGATCAAATCTTCTGTTTCCCTCTCCTTTTACCCAAACAACCACTCAATCAAGTCATCATGTTCAACTGGGCTAAGCAACAGTATGTACCAGATCCTATGACCCCACCATGGGATCAACTTGAAACACCAGAAACTAGAAGCAGAATACTGACCGCTATAGACTGGCCAATGTCGCCGGCACTCAGGAGCCTATCTACGGCCCCTCCGCCATCAAGTCGGTTGCCACAGAGGCCGAGAAGACTTCCTACACCGAGATCGGTCGAGATGGCATGAAGTGGCAGGCTATGGACTCGACCTGTGTTGAGACATCAAGCTTCTACATCTTTGGCGACAACGGTTACGTCGCTCTTGCACAGGTCATCTATAGTAACGTTGCGTATGTTCCCGATAGCCCGTCCTACAGTCAGTCACTAACATGCTCGAAAGCGGCATTCGAACAACCTGCCAGTTCAACGCAAAGGTCTTCCAAAAAGACCCTTCCAAGCCCCACGTCTGGTGCTCATCGCCCCTCAACAACCAAGACTTCAGCGAGGACAAGACGAGTTTCTACGCCGATGACTGCGCACTCGAGCTGTCCGAGGATGGCACATACTACACCATCAAGAGCATGAACGACCAGAACGCCATCGTCAACCTGAAGATCACCCGCGCTGCCCCTGGCTTCCAGGTTGGTACCACAGGCACAACACTGTACGGCACCGATCTCAAGAACCCATGGGGATCCCTGCGACACGCCTTCTGGCCTCGTTGCGTTTCCGAAGGTACCATCACCACCAAGGATGGACCTATTGACTTCAAGGGTCAGGCCTTGAACGTCTATGCTCTTCAGGGCATGAAGCCTCACCACGCCGCCTGCCGATGGAACTTTGTCAACTTCCAGGGCCCCAACTACTCGGCTGTCATGATGGAGTTCACCAGCACTCCCTCATACGGCTCAACACTTGTCAACGTTGGTGGTATTGCCAAGGATGGCGAGATCATCTATGCCGGCGCCACCAACACAGCCGAGCACACTCAAGTCAAGAAGGACTCAGAGAATGAATGGCCTGAGCCCAGTGAAGTCAAGTTCAGCTGGACTGGTATGGGCAAGGACGGAAAGGCTGTCCAGGCCACAATTGAAGGACCTCTCGGCGAGCGCGTTGATCGAGTTGATATCATGGCCGAGGTCCCCGGCTTCGTCAAGACGATCGTCGCGGCAGCTGCCGGCACAAAGCCCTACATCTACCAGGTGAGTTTCTTTCCTTTTCTTTTTCGTCGAATTTTAATTTCCGACGAACCGAATCATGGGGAACCCCCTTGCTGACGAGATAATCTATAGTACCACCCCAAGCTCTCCCTGAAGCTTAAGATCGGCGACGAGGAGATCGTTGAGGAGGGTACCGTTTTCATGGAAGCTACTTTCATCTCGTAAAGTGGTCTAGAGGCTAGACGATAGAAAGAAAGACGTGATCGACGTTATGTTATTTTTTGGATTCGTCTTTTTGTCTTTAATAATTCAGAGTACCAACTTTTTTTTTATCAACAACAAACCATCAGACAGACACAATTGGGTAATACAGTAATCGACACTTTGACGAACAAAGGGCGGAGAGGTTCGGCGTTGGAGACGGAACGGCTTTGGTCACTCGTTTAGATGGATACGATACACTACTACTACTACAAATGATGCCCTTCCCAAAGCTAATATTGAAAAACGAAGACCTCTATTTTGACTTGACACGTCTCAACGCGTCTTTGATTCAATATCTAGTCCATTGTGGTTCTCACTAAACAGCGGCCCGATCATTGTTTGTCTTCGCCCTCGTTTTGGATCAGACCATAATCAGACTTTCCCACAATTCCAAGTTAGTTCTCATTGTCTAGTAAGGCCGGGAGTCCACTATGAACAATGGAGACAGTACAGTCTTCTGAGCCGAATGAACCGAAGGGGTCAGCGGAGAGAGGGAGAAAAGGCCAATAATATTGAGGATTTATCAGGTCTCTCGTCCTCCTTGGTTCCCCGCTCACGATATCGAGGGAGAACACCACCTGTACCAGACTAAAACTCCACAACCCAAGAGCTGCATGTCTCGCCCGTGCCTGAACTACTGTCTTGTCACAATCTTCTTTTTTCTTAGCCTTTGTCTCGTATGCAATGCAGGTGCTTGTGCTTGACTCTTCAAGCAAGCACTTTTGCTACAGCAGTCCTTTTCATTACCTTATCGTTGACGTGTGTATGATCTGAGTCGTTCGTACCTGACTAACGGCTAACAAGGGTCGCGACTTATACGCGCAAAGAGCATTCCTCTAGCAATGTTTTAGTTGAACGTTGATCCAGCCCCTGGAGACAATTTCTTTACTCTGTGGTTGTGTCTTGAATTTGGAGACTTTGACTAGTCTCTATTTTATCTCTTGAGGAATTGAATATAAGGATTGAGAGAATCCTCTTCCTTTGCTGATAGTATCATCCCTCTTCCTTTACATTCTCCCTCAAGAGTGAATATTCTCCCCTTCAACAAAGAATTACATTTCTACCTTCATCAAAGGGTTTTACGAATACCTTCAGTTAGCAAAGATGACTGCCTGTACTACATACCGCGATGCGTCTTCGTACGCCCCTGTGTTCCCTTCTCCTCTCAACCCCACAAACCATGGTCCCGAGAACAAATACGGACCTGCTCGTGTCGTTCGAAAAAGACGTAGTCGAGCTGGTCGACGAGGACCTCCTGGATCACACACTCTTACTCAACGGTTCCTTCGTGTCAAGGCTGCTGATGCCTGGAGGGGACATGTTCTGAGTGCTCAAGTTACTTCGTATGAGCATGCCGAAGCAGCTGCCATGGCTTCTGTTAAAGGATACAAGAGCAGAGTAAGTTTTCTTCTATACACTACTGCAAGAAACTATATACTAACATCTTTAGAACTGCTGTCCTTCAATGCTCGGCCTTAAGAATCTCGGTCTCAACTTCTCCGTCTCCGACGCCCACCGCATTGCCAGCAGCATCCGTCTCCCCGATCTATCAAATCTCAAGACAAGACGTATGCTTCTCGCCATGGGTCTCGTCGGTCTTCTACCGGCTCTCAAGGTCCGAGACATGCTCCGAGCAGCCGAGTCATTATGACTTGCAACTCACGACTCAGAAAAAGGCTGTGACGAAAATAATGACTTTAATGATGGGATTGGTATTTGTGAGCAGCCGTCTTTTGATGGTGCGGCGTTTTGGATTTTGGGAGGAGATTTCTATAGATATACCCGCGTCTTTACGCCCATTTTTTCTTTTTCGTTTCACTCCAGTCTAATACAATACAATACAATATCTCTTCAAGCATCAAAGTTCAGATCCAGTCCGTATACACCGTCCCAGCTATACATAAAGGTATCATACATCGTTTCAAAGTTATACATGAATCTTGTTCTTTAGCCTCATTGCTCTTTCTTCTCTTTATACTTCTCCTCTACAGGTTCAGTGGATCCTGGTTCATCAGCCGCTGTCCCGGCTGCTTTTTCTTTAGGCGGGCTCTTACCATCTGGATCAAGCACGGCGTGTTCAACCTGCCATATCGCTCTTTCAAGTTCGACTTCGAGAGCCGGCATGTCGAGAGTGTCGGAGAAAGTCTGGACTTCTTTTTGGGTGAGCAGCATACGTTCCTTGTTTTCTGGCTCTTCGGCGGGCGGGGCATGTAGCGCATAGAGCTGATCGAGCTTCGCACACGGATACGTCCGTAGTAGTTTATGCTCCAGAAGCCATTGGACATGCTTCCCACCCGCAATAGCTCGGTAGTGCGACCAGGCTCTGTAGACAAGATAGAAGAAGGGCAGATTGGGGATGCTGCAAGAGATTCGTCAGTTAGCGGGATCTAGAAAAAGCAAATGCGAGACAGCACTATACTCACATAGGTACCAGGGCAAACGGGATAGTAATCGGCATGCCCACGATGCACCAAACAAGCCTCTTCTTATGCAGAGCCTGCCTCTCCGTCGCCAGAGTCTGAAGAATACCCTCGGCCTTGCTAGGCGGTATCACAGAGCTCGGAAAGCACAAATCGACCTTTGCGCCATGAATCTCCTTATCACGACGTCTCGAAGACAGAGGCGGCACCGACTTGAGACCCCATTCCTCGTAGGGGATGCGCCGAAAAGCATAGTTTCCATAGTCGACGACCTTTCGCTTCCAGCCCTTATCCATCTTCTCCCACTGCGCCCAAGTTCTGGCGGCCCAGGCGGTGCCCTTGTCAACGTAGGAGCGACCCTGTGGCGCAGTGGTGACTTCGAGTCGTTTCGCGTAGAGCAGCGTTCGCCGCGTGGAGAGCGGGAGGAGGTATAATCTCATTGTGTTGGTATGGAATGCGGAAGTGAGTTTTGATGTGTGAAGTAGCCGGTGCCCAACGGATTGAGTCAGAGGAAGAGTTGGTAGAAGTCTTTCTAGAAACTATCGCAGCATGACGTCTATAATTATAAGATTTCCCGTTTCAAGAAAGAGGCCGCACAAAGCCGGTGAAGAAGAAGTAGTTAGTTTAGAAATTCGCCTCTTTCAACAATATAATAGACCGAATTTTGGTTGGGAAATAATTGTCCAGGGCCAGGGTCTCTGGCTAGAACCGTGGCGAAGCTGACGACGATGCAATTTTTTTTTTCTGTGGTTGATTTTCCCAATTGCTTGCTTAGCTTGGGACTTGGAGAGAGAGCTTTGCTTTCCATGCTTGGAGTTGGAGGCCCCAGAGGGACGAGGACGGTGACGCACATGGTCGTCATGGTTGGAGAGAGATGGATCTTGATAGACTAACACGTGCTTCTTTTATTCTCTTCAGTATTTACATGATAAGTTTATATCCAACTGTATAACCTCGTGGTAGAGTAGTAAATTTCCTATTCTATCTTATAACAACTCCAACTCTTGAATATTTGCCCATCCATCATGATTAAAGCCAAGAGATTTAACCCTGCACGATTCAATCCAAACCTCGGCCAAATGCCCCACTTTATGCCACTCTGCCACAACCCCACTAGACTATCACCAATCCTCTCAAACCACCGACATAGAGTGGAAATTCTACACCCATTTTCAACAATTCACTGGGCGAATGGTTTAGTGGTATAATACTCCCTTAGCATAATTCATCTGAATAATCTGGGAGTGGTCCAGGGTTCGATTCCCTGTTCGTCCATCATAGGCGGTTAAATTCCGCTGTTATACCTTCTTTTTGACTTTTTCACATCTGTAGTATATGCATGCTTGTACTACATTTCTTTTTGCAAAACCCTGAGGCTCTTCAAAAAGTCCCTGAACTTGACCACACCACCAGCAAGTCCCTGAACCCCTATAATCATCCCAACTGCAATAATTCAAAGGATTCAAATCTCTGGGTTCGTATTTCGATCCTCAAACCGCTCATCAATGTCTCATATAGATCTCGATTCCGCACAAACGTTACCAAAGCCTCATGCAAGGAGTACTTCTTCAAGTAGCCTACTGAGCTGGACATCTGCCCACTTCCCCATCTTTTGTTCGCGTTTTGACTCAGGTACCGATTTCCAAACAGTTGGGTTTCGGGTGACTTGCAGCTGAATAAAAGTTCCCAGCTGAGACAAGACCGACCATCAAAACTGAGACCTACAGCTTCTTCGAACTCCGGACTTGGCTGGTTCACTTTTCGTCTTGTCTTTTGCACCGAATAAAGTTCCAGTTCGTGGCCACGTATTCGCGTTGGTCCTCTAATGGTTCTTTCTCAATTCATGCAGGGTCTTTGTAGTATGTAGTAGCATGTGCCAGCATGATAACCTCTCGTAACGCCTGAACATATTCCTTCTATCCTCTCTATTCCGTCCCAGCTCTTTCTATCTTGTAGTCTTACAATTTTCACCTTTAAAGTTCAGACTTATTCATCTTGAGCTCTTTAGCTTCCCCCGCCGTCATGCACGGGACTCTTTGCTCGTGATGCTCCCTTACCCACAATCTTCTCCGCCCAGTTCCACCCACCCGCACCCGATGACCCCTGCGCCTCTTTGCCCTTGTCTGTCGGACTGAGTGCCGACGGCGTCGTTGGGGCTGGTGGTTCTCCTCCAAAGTCCAGATCACTGTCATTGTCACTATCATGCCAGTCCCGGTCGCTCCAGTTCACGGAATCGGCCCGCTCGACCTTTGGTCGTTGATGCGTAGACGAGTCACTGTTTCGCTTTGACCTTGCTGCCTTGGATAGGTCCGATACCTTATCGAGGGCCTCCCGAGACTCGCTGTCTGTTCGGGTCATGTTTGCAAGGTTGTCCCGGCTCTTCTTGAGCTCTGCTCCATGCGCATCTGGTGGCTCGTTCATGTTACGGGCTCGCTCTTTGTTGTCCTCATCTTCCATGCGGAGGCGAGCGGTTACTGAGTCACTGAAGTGAGCATCAACCAGATGCTTCATTACAGGCCATCCATAAGCATTGGCAAACATGCGTCGGACAAAGACATTGTTATGAGCATCCGGCTCAACCTTGACGAGCACCTTCCTCCAGGATAAGTCTTTGTGATAGGCTCTTGCGATCTTTTCCTCGACACGCATATTGGATGTGTCGATGACTTCGTGTGCATCCTTATCCGGGTTGGTGTGCGCTGTGTCATCGTAGTCTTTGGACGACAATGAGCTGTCCTCACGATTCACAGACGGGTAAGGACTAGAGCCTGTACTGCTTGTTGAAGCCTGTCCTGTCGAGTTTTGTCGTTGGCCGGTGTTCCTTCTAACCAATGTTGAGGGACGCTTTTTCAATGGCGGTCCTGGTATGTCGGATGGATGATAGATACGATCGTGAAAAATAGTTCGTGGCCGTTTAGATGGGTCAATGAGATACTCAACATCAGGCACCTTCGGGTTGAGAAGGTCACTGGCTGATTCAAAGACAGTCGTCCTTGGGGGAGCTGACACCTCATCTTCATGCTCGTGCCCTGTTGTAACCTTTGATGGTTTAGATGAATCCGATTCAGCAGATTCATTGCCTTGGCCATCACCCTGGCCCTTAAGAGTTTGACTATTAGAGAATATCCTCTTCTGCTTCGGTGACACGTTTTGAGGTTTGGGTGGCTCATTGCTCTTGAAAAAGTTGAAGAACCCTGACAATGGCCCGCTGGCACTCGAATCAGCGTTACCTGAATCAGCTGAGTCGGATGGCGCCTCATCACCATATGGTGTCGTCACAGACCGCAAGCTCGCCCGGTCATCATCCACTATTACCGAGTTGGGCGGCTGCGGGACTTCGCGCATGTTTTCATGAGTATCTCGAGGTGATGAGGTACCAGATTGACCCGCAGAGCGTTCTCCTGATATAATCTGCCTCTGGCGAGCATTGCCCTGGGCGGTGCCTGTCAACTCGGACCATCCAAAACCAACAACAGTCTCGACCAAGCCGGCATCTCGTCGAGCCTTCTCAACACGTCCAAGTCCCTGCCAATCCAAAAACAGCAGACAGCTTGTACGTAGCGGTACAATGCCATCGTTGACCACGTTGGAATACACAGTTCGGTTGCGGAACTTCTTTAGGGCTGTGTGTGCAGGTCCTGTTGGTAGGATTCTCAAAAGCGGTTTCGACTCGGGTTGCGAATCGCCGTAGACCTTCTTATGTGCCGTTTCGCCCAAATTTCCTACAATAGCACCCCAGCCGCTTCTTGCGATCGTTGGTGCTCTCCAGGTCAGACCGAGATCTTTGCCTGTCCGGCCGACAAGGCCAGAGTCCAAAGCGAACTTGACATATAGGGGGTTCTCATTGCTCAACCCCAGGAACGGAGTAGCTAGAGCAACAAAGTTGATAGGCTTGATGAGGTCGAAGAATTGTGGTGAGTGCTTCTGGATATACGCAATGGCGTAAGTTTGTACAAGTCCACCGAGGGAGTGAGCAATGAAACTTATACTTGTAATCTTGTATGGCCGCTCTGCCTGACGCAAATGCGCCCCATCTTTGCCGAGATGAATCGAACTGTGGGCATGCACTGCCTTCTGCTGAGGATCATGCTTGTCGAACGTATGGGTTAAGGTTTCAGCCATCCCTTTTCCTGTTGGAAGAAAAGGCTGATCTGGGTATGTCATGGACAACACGTATCTAGCGAGTCGTTTTCCAAGATACTTAATCCCGCGCTCGGTCTTTGTCGAGTTGCCCGAATAGCCTCGTACAATAACCTCTTCATCGTCGTCTGATTCATCATCTTCACCTTCAACCCTATCCTGATCCTTTGTATTGTAAGAATCTGATTGAGCAAGACCGTTGTCCGATTCTTTCCTCTCGGCTCGCTCCCGGGCGCGCCGTGCCTTGGCATCGATCTTGGCTTGCTTGACAGTTGCATCTATGCTCTCCTTCATGAACAGCATATCTGCGCCAAGATTGCTGTGGAGGCCATGCGTTAGAACCACTATGTGGACCTTCTTTTGCTTCTGTTTCGGCTTTTGTGGTTCTGAAGTATCGTCTTTTGCTTCAGGGTCGCCAGTTTTGGAGACACTCTCTACGTGCTGGTCCGGGCCTTCACGCTTTTCAGGATCACCTTGATCATCCCAGCCTGGAAGTCTAGGTGTGTTCCATAATGTTGCAGTATCTTCAACCTTGACTTGTATCGCTCGAGAAAATACACCTTTAGGCTGCGCGGGATGGTGTCCATCCTTAGCCCCCACGCCTTGCTGATGATCACTGATTTTTCCAGGCTGCGCAACTTGTGCCTGACCATTGACTACTGCACTCGAGTTGCCCAAACTTAAGGACTTCTTGTCGCGAGCCAGAAGAACCTCGAAACCAACAGCCGCCGATGTCGAGAAAAGAATCTGCGAAGAAACCTCAACGATCCAGCTAGCGCTCTCATGGTCATGAGATGGCCCCTTTCCAAAACCACCATGACTTCCTAATCCAGCACTCTGTCGAATAGTAACCGGTACCACAAGTTCACACTCCCAAGAACCACCCGCCTTCACCATAGGCTCGAATTCAGGAACGCCATAACGCTCAGGGTATTCAAATTTCTCGTTGGGATTGTAACCGGCAGGGTAAGCAGCGGCACAGAGGGTATACGGTCCGTGTACGAAAGCGGCGCGGAGAGCGATGGCTGAAGTGTTGCGTACGCGGAGGTAGAGCTTCTCGGGAGACGGTAAGATGCGGTCTTGCGACGGTATGTATGTGATGGTGTAGCGGACGACTTCGCCAGTTTTCAGGCTGCCGACCTGATGGAGTAAAAGCATCTCGGCGCAGCGCAGCACCGGCGTAGAAACCAAGTTCGTAAGACAAGAGCCGCGTGGAACAAATGTCGATTCGAGAGACTGCACGTGCTTCTTTGGACTTTATCGCGAGACTTTTGGTATTGTATTCAGACGGCGGTAAGGCTTGACGTCACCATATCCTGCCCTATAATTCGAAACTGCGCTCAAAGTAAAAGTCGAAAAGCCTCACTCAGAGACAAAAAGATGGTAGTGAAAGAGGCCTCGACCGAAGGAGCCGAGTTGGAAAAGCAGCAGTGACAATGACAAGACCAGAAAAAGGGTCTAGAATGGAACTGCACATGTAATGAATGCATGCATGTACAATGACGGCAAGCTCGCCCTGGTCCCCCAATCTCGCTCCTGACCTAACAAGTCATTGGCAACCGAGAAAAGCCAATCAAGGCTGGCCGTCGACATCACTCCTTTGGCGGGGCAGGGCAAGGCGGTTTGTTTTAGGGGATGAGCCACTGTAGGAAGCTTTTTAGTGATCAGCTGGTGCTGCTTGCGGTGGATCTTGTGTGTTTCTGTTGGGCATTCATTCCATCCACTTGTGCCGATCGGAAACAGCCCACGGCGTTTCTCAGCGCCAGAGCGCCTAACCAAAGCTCCAGTGCCGCTTACTAGACGACTCCATTCCGTCAGTTCCTTGCTCGCGGCTTTTCTTGATGATGACTTCATTCAAATAGACTCTAGTGAATATGTATGAAGAAATGCATGATTTATATAGAAACAGCTAGCTAAATGACATCAAATAAAGTCTGACACCTATGCTGATGCTTGCTTGCTTATGTAGTTTATGCTTATGCCCCTACCATCATATCATCCATGCAATGCCATGTCATGCGATCCATCTAGAATGGTTTCTCCATTGTTGAGTTCTGTTGGCCTTTGCGTCAAAAACATCCTGGCTACCTCCCAATGTATCTTTCTTTCCCATAAATTATGCAAAGTTTCCATTTCCCGTAAACGAAAGAGAATACGCAGTTTGGACTATGATACAAAAAACACACTATGTGCAATCTTTAAAACGAGAGATACCAGATATTCTAAGAAATCGTTCGTTTGTCTCGTCAATCATCATATATGAAAGCAGGTTAGATTTCTCTTCAAGCAGCCACTACTGCTGGTCCTAGTTCGCCTTCCGGGTCACCGGGTTCAACAAACTTCCGCCAGACGTCGATTCGTCCCATTCCCGAGCCGCGTCCGCTAAGACCGGCGAGTTCGGAGGACTTGCGTGCGTCGCTACGTCGCCGGCCCTTTCGGCTACGTGAGCTGTGGCTGTAGTATGAATCGTCATCGTCGTAGGTGTTGGGATCTCGCTCCACGATCAAAGGTCCAGCTCCTCCACGGTATCCTTCCTCCAGAACTGGAGGTGGCATTCCCATAGGCGGTGGCCTCATTGCCGGAGGTTCCATTTCGTAGCGATCTTCTGGATGTCGTTCGACCTTTCGTCTGTCCATGCGTCCTCCGTAGTACCCTCCTCTGCCGACACGAGAACCTCTGTCAAACTCTGGCTGGCTTGGCGAGGATGGTGCACCACCGACGACTCTGCGTCCTAGACGCTTGGGGCTATCCCCCGCATAATGGGAAGTGGGTGGTTCTGGAGCACCCACGACATCGTAGTCGTTATAGCGAGGTCTGCGCATCAATTCATCGTCACGATCATCTTGTTGACGCAAGATAATTTCTTCGTCGTAAACATGCGGCCGTGGCTGCTTCCCTCGTGGTCGTCGCGGGCCTCGGGAATCTTCTGTGGTGCTACCTTCACGGAAGACTTGAATTTCGCTTCTGTCTCGACGTGTGATCGCTTTTTCTTCGTGATCAGACTCGGGAATATCAGCGTCGAACCATGGACAATCGCATCTCTTGGGTTTCTCTCCACAAACGACGCAAAATTCGGTACCACATCGACTGTCATATGTTAGAAACCACCTTGGGAAAACTCGTAATGAGCACACTTACCACAAGGCATGATTATCGCCATCTCTGAGCTGAGCTGTAGCATCACATCTGATGCATCTCTTCTGCTCTTCGGTTCTGATCTTGGCCAGAAACCTGGCTGTTTCCTCATCCCTGGGACATTTAGGTTGAAAGTGCCACCTGCCATTGCACGACACGCAAACCTTTGTGTTGCACTGATCGCAGCGAGCAGTCTTTCGCCCCGTCTCGCGATCATGGTAGATCTCGCCTGGTCGAATCCACTCCCCGCATCGTCGTGAAGGACAATACAGCCTGTTTTTCAAAGAAAATTCCACAAATTTCTTGTTCCATATCTTCTTGAAAACAGGATCGAAAAGCTTGTCAACGTGCTCCAGACCAATGGGCTCTTCAGTGCAGCATGTCGGAGGCATTTGTCCAGAGTCTGTCATTGACTGCTTGAACCGCTTCTTCAAACAGCTGTGACACATTCGATGACCACATTCTAGTTTGGGGCATTTCGATGCGGGGACCTCGTCTAAACAGACTTTGCAATCACGGCTGGAATATTATGTTAGAACGTAGATAGCAAAATGTGATATGGGTCACTCACATTGAGCGGGGTCGGTTGGGAGAACTGTTTCTGGATGATCCAAATGCACTGCCCGCCATGCTAGGAGGACGTCTTGAAGATTCTCTCGAGATTTCAACTGTCTCTACTATTCTCCGAGGACGGCCGTCACGAACAATTTCGCGTGACTCGACCACCTTTTGTGTCCTGAAGTTTTTTTTATTAGTCTCGTGAGTAAACATTAATTGTAACATACGCACCTCCTAGAAGCAACGGGTGGCCTAGAAGAATCAAGCACACTGCCAAATCGCGTTGGTAGACTGTATCTTGGCGTGTCGGTCATTTCCCGTCTCAGAGCAGGTCTTCGATCTGGTGATCCTCTTTCAGAAGACGCATGGCGGTATCGGCGTATTTGTCTATCGTCAGATGTAGATGGTGATGGTATTCTATTTCGTCTTGGTGGTGGCCTCTTCTCATCTGGCGAGCTGAGGTAATCGTCTGGGCTGGGTCGTCGGTTGTGTCGATGGTGGTGGTGTCTATGCTTCCTCTCCTCCTCTTCCACCACAACCTCTATATGGTCATTGTCGCTATCATCCTCACTATCACTTTCACTCTCGCTTTCACTCTCCTCCTCGCTCTCTGTCGATGGTGTCGATTCGGGTGTTGGCTCCCTTCTTTGCACCCGCCGACGGGGCCTTGCAGGCTCGGGAATTCTACCCCGCGGTTTCATGGACGGCCAACGTTCATCGTCCTCATCGTCTTCGTCGGCTTCGTAGATTGACAGCTGCGGGCGTTTCTTATAAACATCTGTAGAAGCCCGCATCAGGTGTGGTGCTGGCGGCATGGGCATGGTAGACGGAGGGTATGCATCGAGGCTCATGCTCCTTGAATATCCCCTGGGTGTACCTCCGTTGGGCCTTTGTAGTTCGTCGACTCGTGTCCGATGGGGCATTGGGTTGTGGTAGTAGGGCGCGACGTCACCTGGGCCATACCAATCGTGAGATTCAGAGCGGAGGGGCCGGCGACGCACGACTGGAAGTCGGGCCTCTTGATCAGGGACGTCTCGATGGTATCCTCCTAGCCTCATTTTCGAAGAGGGGCCTGTGAGCTCCTAGAGGGCTCACTCCTGCAGGACCCAGAAGGGGACAGGGCGCTGGTCCACGGCACAGCACAACGCAGGACAGCACAGCGAAGTGCGTTCGGTTCAAAGATGGTGTCCTAAGGAGGACTAGTTTATATGTCGGAATGCCACGGGCAGGTCAAAGTAGTCGTTGATGACGAGCAGTCGGCCACTCAACGAAGTCCACGCTGCGTGAGCAGTTGCACCCCCCAAATATGATTGGAGTCGGGGGGCTGATCATGCATGGCAACCGCAGCTTGCAGCGTCGCGTCGAGCGATTCGAGTCGAGGCGAATTGAGTTGGAGCTGGGGCGAGAAAAATGTATGGTGGATGTCCGTTTGTTCTGATGGTGCCTTACAAGTTGGGCCGCGAGACGTCTAGAGAAATGGAGATCCAAACTGGCCAGGCGTCAAGACACACTTAGTCTAGGTAGTACCTTGAACAAGGGAAGAAAAAGAAAGCAAGGAAAGAAGAAAACGAAACAGTCTAGTACGAGAGAGATGAAACCCTTGAGTAACGTTTCTCAACCTCCGCAGTTTGCGTCTGCGTTTGCTTTTGCTTTTCCTAAGCTACCGCAGGATAACGCGGCAGATCCAAGTATCAAGCGTGAAATAAGTTACCTCACGCATCCGCATCAGGCACCTAGAAACGAATCAAAGTGCCCCTCCCCCGCGTGGGTGGGTTTGGACTGGCCAGGGTTAAGTCGACCGATGTGGTTTTGATTTGGCTTGGTCGTTTGAATTAGCGACTGAGCACTCAGACCCTGCGTTATGATAGGAGACAGGGTAGTGCTCGTACTTGGCCAGGGCCCTCTCACAACGCACCGTACGAGCTGAATTCAGATCATACGAGTGTTTATTAGGGCTCAAGGCAAACGAGTGAAGGACAGACGTAAACCTGTCTAACAATATTCTTTTTTGGCGGGTGGCTGGCATCGTTCCAAGACAGACTGTGGATGATCAGTTTTTGTCGGTGTGATGTCACGTGGCTGGCTGGAGCCACAAGGTCAAACTGGGAACTGAAGAGACATGATTCAACCGCCTGATAGCCTACATGTTCTGTCCATAGAATGCAAGTGCCACTAGATTCCTGCAAGTAATCATGCTTTTGGCTATCGTTTTATCTGAGACAAACAGAAGCCGATATCATCATTGTGGCAATATTTGACTTCCGTCATCGCTCACTATCGTCTTGAAGCAAGAGTCAAAAACTACGTTAGCAACAAGCTTATCGTTGACGTCGACTCCAGCCGCTTAACTCTATTTAAATAAACGTCCCCCAAAAATCTAATCTGGTCTGGTCTATGCTTCAAGAGACGATGCCGAGCGTGGGGTTGATTCACGTCCATATTGCGCCGGTCCATGCCGGCCATTTCTTCATGTGGGTCATAGTCTCGGCTCGGTCCGGCAGCCATGACGGTCCCGGACGGTCATTGAACGGCACAACAGTGACGGCGTCCCTGCCGATCCTATTGACTTTGCCCGGCCTCGGGTTTAACATATTTCTTCAAGAATCTGCAGGGTCTATTCTCCCCCGCACTCTATCTGCGTGGTGGCGGTACATTACCGTCAGGGTGTCAGAAGAATTGGCTTCCGGAAGCATAAGAGACGAAATAATTTGATCATCTTACGCTACCTTAGAGGAGCTTTTAGGCTACTTTATTTTGGCTTCTTGAGCCTTAGAGGATAATTCTTCTGATACCCACTTGATCGGTGATTAAAAGACATAGCAGAGCCTTCTATGCAGCCTTGTCAAAGCTCTAAGCATGCATTACATCATGAAGCTGAGAAGACATTGTCGGCGTGGCGTTTGTCCTATTCCAGCAATATTTAAGCATTTCAAATATGCTGCCGTACTTTCGTGATATCATGTAAAGAAAAGATCAACATATGTATTGTCTCAGCACTCACAGTCAGCAGCAACACACAAGACTTTCCAGCTGTTCATTATTTACTCATAATCATGATTCTTAATAGTACAATATTAAACAAACGGGTATAGATGCTATCATGAGAGACGTCATCATGTTCTTTGGATAATTCGAAGTGGGAAATCTGACGCCAATCCTCCCAAGAACGTCCAGCTAGATCTTTCTGCTAGCTTGTATGCATGATCTACATTACATCAATTCGATCCTGAGAGTAATATTGGGAAGCAATATTTCTTGTAGCCAAGATCTGACAATCGGCCACGCGGCCCGGTGAGCCGTACTGGGTTCTTTACCAGCCAATAAAATGATATTACCCAACACTGCAGCCCAGGATGATCCCCCAGAAAGAGTCTCTCGGGGCGACAGTCACCCAGATCCCTGGGTCGTATTGCGGCGTTGGGGCGTATCTAAGCCGTACAAGATCAGAGAACAACGGCGCTACTACTGAGTAACGTCGTCATCTTGACAGCTGAAGAAGAAGAACAAAGCATGTCAAGCAAGTGACAAGTCGTTGTTTTGTAATGTCTTTGTACAAGTACCGTCGGCAAAGCGACTCAAGTCAGCCGGCACCTACGGAGTGCCGAGGAATGCGCGTCGTCTCACTTCAGCCTCTTTGAGCATCTCGGAGGCAAGGCTCAAACTTGGGGCCAAAGTCGCGTATCGTTCGACTTCGACAACCACATCGTTGATGATTTGGTCTAGCGCCTCACGACTTGGTACCAGTGTGAGTAGAATATTGAGTAGCGATGGTGACATGGTGGCACCCATAATGAGTAATGTTTGAGACACCATGGACAAAGCCCCTTGCCAGATGTATGGCATATGCCCGGCGTGACTGGAACTGGTTAGCTTTTCTTCCATGGATCAATACCTGAAAGGGAGGGTGACATACTGTTCATGAATATGCTCCAACTGTCGAATGGAAGCTTCCAAGCATTTGTGGCAATTTTCTCTCACGGCGGGATCCAAAACTTGCTGCTCATTATCTAGCACTGCCAGAATATACGGCCGGTAGATGATGGTGCGACAAGCAAAGAATCGGAGGCGAAGTACTGTTTGAACAGGGTCTTGCAGGGCATTCCGGGTAAAAGGAAACTGCAGTGGCAATGGCAAACTCTCGTACCATTGACTCAATTGGTAATCGAGTTCCGCGACAACTGGGTCTAGGCTCTGTGTTGTTGCAATAGAGTCCTTGGAGTAAATGAGGTGGCTGACTCTGTTCAGCAAGCGACGCAGAGCAATCTCGGCCAAGAAGTACCAGAGCTCATCTCGACCGACTTGCTCCGACTCGTCTCCTTCGAATCCACCTGGGAGGCCAACATGCTCCTCAAATTGGACCACACCCGAATGAGGCAAGTCAAGTTCGGCGAGAAGATCGCTTTCGAAAAGCAAAGCATTCCAGTAAATGCGTTCCACGAGTTCTCGCTGGTGACTAGGGATACGGCTAGGAGCCATGAGAAGTAGTTGCAGTTTGGTGCTTGTAGTGCAAAGTAGGTTCCATGCCTCCATAGGCCGCACTAGGTAAAAGTGATATGCAGCAGCAAGGAGATGACATTGCGCCGCCACCACACTATTGGCAGTCATCAATCCTGGGAGCAGCGACCAGGCTGCTGTAAAGTATTGCAAACCGGGGGGATCTTCATGGGGGAGAATCCTGGATATGCTACCGTGCAAACTTGCTTGGCCTAGCGCAAGAACAAGAAGCACGATGCAACTCTCGGGCCCTTCTCGGAATCCGTTGGACAAGGCGGTTCGGTACTGGCTTCTCCAGGTATACGGGTTGACGCAGGCGTACCAAACGTTGACCCTCTCAAAATAAGCCTCGATGTATGCTTGAGTATTTGACAAGTCCACACATGGCGTTTTCGTCAGAGTGTGGAGTGGTTCTCGGGCCATTTCCAGTTGTAGAAGAACCTGAGGATCGCATTGCCGTGAAATTAGATCCCGAATTAGAGGCCATTGCAGTAGATGCATAGCAGCGTTGGTGTGTACTTTGGGCATGGTAGATATGTTGGTCCCCACTGGCTGCGCCGACCAAGTGCCAAATCCACCGTTAGGAATAGAGCTGAAAGTGCCCCCATTGGCTGAGAGGATCAAATTGTCGCCATCGAGCCCGGCACCGTTGCTCAAATCAGGCGAATTTTCCGTCAGGTTAAGCCCGTTCGCTGATGGGTTCACCATGCTCATTTGAAGAAGGCTTTCAATGCGGTTGAGGCGTTCCAGGATCAGCTTGTCACCAGCGTCTAGCTTAATACCTGGTTCTCGATAAATGCATTCAGCGCCGAGCTCTGTGCAGAGCTTGCACTTTGGCTTTGTTCCATCGCATCTGGATTTTCTTGAACGGCAAACCTCACACTAGCGAAAAGTCAGCAAACGAAAGAAGACAATAAGCATTATGCTGTGACGCACAGCAATAGTGGCCCTGCGGCGGGGATAATCAACGCCAGTTTCTGTGTTCCTCCTTTTAAGTGGGTTGGAGCCCTCGTCGCTCGAGACCTTTTGTGCGCCGTTGGACATGTTGTCGGGTCTGGTATTATCGGAAGATTGCGACAAATGGCGGGCCTTTTGAGACGTGCTCAGCATAGCCTCCCTGCTGAAACTGGGCGTGCGCTGGTTTTTGTAGCTGACAGGGGATTTGAGCGACGTATCAACCGACATGGTCGCAAGTGATGACATTGATGATATTGGCAGTTCGAGTGAGAAGTGGTCGCGAGCAGGAACGGTGAACGGTCGGGCTGAGTTGATTGAGATAGAGTGAACTGATTCGCCTGTCGATGATGGGGACATGATGATATGCTGTCGTAAACAATCAAGCGCAATCGAGGAAATGCCTTGAGAGCAAAGCTCCTGGAGAGCTGATATGACGCCGTAAACAATTAACAGCTAAGGTATGAATGGCAGGAATTTCTTCAGAAAGTCCACATTCTGGGACAGTGCCGAGGTTTCAATAGTAATGCCGAAAATCAGTCGAGATGATGAAAGCTGAAACAGGAGGAAGAAGCTATGTTGAAGCTAAGACGGTGATCGGCGAATATGTTTCCTGTAAGTCGGTTTGTGTTGTGATTGTCCTGTCAAAGGATTGAAGAACGCCAGTCTCAAGGACAGAAGACTGAAATGCCTTGGAGTTACTGAACGTTGAGAAAGGCGTTCTTTTTGGCGGCCGACAATGGAGGAGCAAACGGTTATGTATGGGGGAAGAGCAAGGACAAGGGTCTCCGAGTCCATGTGGTCCTGCACCTGCGCTTAACCCCAGACCCTGGGTCGGCGGTGGAACTCGGAAGAGGGTGGTGGAGAAGCGGGCGGGAGAGACTAACGTTAGAGTCGACCATCCGGGGGACTTCTGCAGCGATGGAGAAAGTCGACCGAGCCTCGCACTGCAGTCTTTGTACTCCGGTCAGCGGCCGAGTTACTTGGAGAAGACTATTAAGGACACGCGCGGGCATGACATGGTAGTTGGGGACCCAGATGAATGTTCGAGCCTATCTCGGGGGATAGTTTTGCTTCAGGTGGTGGTGGCGTATGCTCTTGGTATTCAGGAAGCGAGTCGGATCCAAATATGGGGAGTCAGCGAAGCAATAGACTAGAGTCCGGGGAAGCTCATCTCGTTCGGTCTATTTTCTAGGTACTGAAGTCTTTTGTCCTTCCCAAATCGATTCCATGCGTTCCCCAGAGGATTGGAGGGCTCGAGCCAGTTGTTCTCGTTTAATCGCCATGACAAGGATTAAGAGTGCGATGGAGGGGGGTTGCTTGCGCGAGTGATTGGTGGGATCCCTGTTAGCATCACCGTTTGCGTGTGGAGAAGCGATTTATGGAGGTTGAGGTTCGGCTCAGGTTCAAGTTCTTCTCTCAGAGTAATTATGGAGTCGTTCACGATCTTGATGTCTCCAAGAGTGAGGTTTAGGGAAAATGCGCCGTTACTTTGCGTGTGGATTTGTCAGGGACTGGCCTTGCGTTATTGGCATGGAAAGAGCGGGCGGAAATGTCGTCCCATCTTATGCCTGCAGTTCCTTCCTGGTAATCACATCAAATGCAGCACAAGGAAGGCACGCATCTGGTAATTGTAGTTCACTTTAGTCAACAACCCCAGTTGAAATCCTTCATCAACAATATGCTTCATCCCTGCGTCTAACAATAATATCTTTTCCATCTATTGCTCTCGTATCCTCATACGCACCGCCATTTCTCTTCATACAATCCGTTCTATAACCAATATCTGGGGTAATAATGCGCCCTACCACGGTCAGACAGACGTAAACCATCGCGGTTCTAGACCCCAGCCCAGGAAATCGCCACGAGAGCATCTTCTACAGAGTGATAACTGAAATGATTGTCTCGGGTGCCATCCGGGCCTCTCGCTCATGACCATGGGGCCTGCAAATCCTTTTAGCAGTCACTGTAGGTAGACAGTACCCCCAAACTGCCAAGGTACTCCATCTCCACGACTTCCATATCTCTTTACGCCTCTACTAGAAGTCGAACAGCATTCCAAATACCCCAACTTGACCATTCCTTCATGACGCAAACTTGTTTCACAAAAAACGTGGTTTTAAGCTCGAACTCTGTACAAGTCCGCTTACATTAGATTGACAGTTGTTGAAGCTTTGCCCACCCATACACACAGTCGCAGGCTCACCCATCATGACAAGCCCTCATGCGCCCAACCATTTGAACGGCCCGAATAGGGGGTGCTCTTTGTTGGAGCCTCGCTACCCCCAATCCAATCCAATCCCAAGCCCGTGACCAACCTGGGGTTCGGTTTTAGCCTGCTCCGGTCTGGGGTGCCGTCTTGAGACGAATGTCAACCTGCGGGGAAAGCCAAAAGGTGTGGCACGTTTTGTCCAAAATAAGACAAAAGGCTGGCAAGGTTGTCTGATGGATCTCCCGGCTAATTGGCCTTCGCATTAACTTCACCGGGAGCAGCGTACGGCACTCATAGCTACGAGCCAGAAGCCTGGGGTATCTGGGTATCAACAAACAAATTCTACCAACAGGTAGACAATATGACAATATCTTCAAAGAGTATACGCAGGGTTCATGAAGAGAACAACAGATTAAGATAATCATATCATGCTTTTGGAAATTGACTGCTTGTACTTCACGCCGTGATGGGACTACCTCCTCAAATGTGAGTCTTGCCAAGGGATAACATTATCCCAACTAACAACATTTTCAGGGTCTTCAACACCCCGGCTATCATCACCCTGAGCCTTGCCCCAGACTCCAAGTCGATCTTCAAGATTGAATTGCCCTCGCATTCCCTTTTGGGACATCCGGAAGAGTCGACGCCCTGTGCCTCTCTGGGAGGACTGAACCCACTTCAGTCCTTGATGGCCTAGGGCTGATAGACTATCCCAGTGCTTCATCTCACATACCCCTCCGAAGCCGCTGCAAGATAGAAACAGCCACCAATGCAGTATGCTTCGCATTATCCCCTGCATCATGATACGATCGTCCGCACTTGGGGTGAGTGGCTACCAATAAAGACTGCAATGCGTTCAGTCCAACTGAACAGAGTGTCCCTGACACTGCAACCCAATCCCTCTTCGGATCAGGCAGCCGTCAATCCGAAACATTATCAAGGCATTCGATATTGAAACCACTGCATAGAGGTAAGTCCTTGACATTTCGGGACGGTCCTCTTCGATGAAGGGTGCTGTTAGCTGATGGAGCTACGTCATGGAAGCCTCTCGCAGACACGTTCTCAACATCGTCACTTGGACAGAAGAGACATGTCCGGATGAGAAGTCACCGAGATGACGTAGGGAAGTGCTCAATGGCAGGCGAAACCGTCCTTGTTTGAAGATATGGCGCAACACGATCATTCATAGAAGATCACGGCTGTGACCTCACCTTCCAACTCTGCGTAGGCAACGAAATCGCCAAGCATTCCTGTCTTGACATCTCTCTCGAGAATAACGACACGGCCATCGTGTTGCAACGCCACTGCAACCAATGTGCCCGCTTTGTTGACGGCGAAATGACGAGGAAACCTGCCTCCACATGGAACATCTTGTTGCAAGGCGAGTTGCCCAGTCTCACCGTGAATCCTGAAACTGACAAGCGAGTCTGAGATGATGTCTGTGGTGTTACCATTGTCGAAACTGGGTATATCATGGGTGTTCTCATTACGGGATGAGATGAGAAGATACTCTCGATCTGGCTGCAAAAGGCGTTAAGATCACGATCTATCAACATTCAATATTCACTTACAGATATAGCAATCTCAGCTGCAGCAGCACCCTGAGGAGTATCACTCTCCTTGCCATGGATGCCACTAGTCCATACTTCCCTAAATGTAATGAACCCACCACCATATACGACTTCGTATCCAACGACGGTATTGGCCAATTCAGTGACGAGATACATGAACGTCTTTGTCTCTTTTACTACAAAGGCCAGATGTCGAGGTCCGCTCCCAGGAGCAACAACCAAAGGATCCAACTTGGTCAACGCCAAGCCCTGGACATCAACTCCATAGATGTGGATCAAATCCTCTCCTAGATCTGGAACGAGAATGAACCGCTTGGTCGGGTCGAGAACTGCAGCGTGGGGATGGGATGCTTCCTGTCTAGATGGATCAGGTCCAGGCTTCTGAAGGTTGTATTCTTGGACCTGCACTGAGGTGATATTGGCCGGGTCTCGAATATCCCAAGTCGTGAATGCCGAACCGCCGCTTTGAGATAGTTAGTCTTCTGGTGTGACACCAAGATGGAATGGGGATATGCATACTAATGCGCCATTGCCAACCCGTAGTTCCACTCTCCATATTGTACAGCACTCACCGGACCAAGGGCTGTAGACAGCTTGGCCAGAGGTGTCAAAGTGCCATTCTCATTCGTCGCAAAAGATGCAAACGACCCATTCTTTCCGTCTTTAATACCTTCATCAGTGCAATACAGTATCCCATTCATCCAATCAAGCGTAAGCCATGACGGACTGCCAGCGCAACCATCCGTCGTCGCCAACGTTTCAAGCTTGATAGGTGAATCTCGATACGCAGCAAGCGAAAGATTCAACGTCGTAACAAGTCCACTGTAGGACGCAACATACAGCAACGAACTCACATCGTGAACATGCGTTACTGGATCGAGTATATCATGGTTATGACTCCAGTGAGCTCCTTTCTTATAGTATGTTTGGTACGCGCAGTGCAGCAATACTATAGTGAGAGGCGCGCCGAGGAGCAGTGTTGGGATTAGGAGGGAAGTGCTGTTATCCCTGAAAGGATTCTTTGAAGCTTGCCGATTGAAGAGTTTCATGATAAGTGAATGGCTTCAGATTCGATGTGATGGTAGGGTAGGATCTGCGAGCGAGAGCTGACGCAGCTTGCGCACTGGCCAAACGACCAGGGGTTCAAGCTGAGCTTTGAAACAGAAGTTTAAACAAAAAAGCACCGAATAGCAAAGGAATAAACAAGAGCTGATGATAAAAAAGATGGAATGAGAAGTAGAAAATGATGCGGAGGTGAGATTCAGGTTGGATCCTTTGAGGTCGGCAATTGACTAACGTTAGCCTTGCACTAGGTAAGGAACGGGGTGGCTTTGTTGTAGCACTGTGATTGACGCCTTCGTATCGGTATCACCGGCTGGCCCTGGCTGTTATTGCCACTGATTGATGGATTTTATGTTTTATTGTTAACGCGCCGTTTGTTTCAACGATTGTTTCATGGTAGAAGGCCTGATAATTGATAGGCGGAATATCGTGTTGTTCAGCTACACAGCGTAAATAGCATCACCAGATTATGATGAGCGCAGGTAGTCCAAGAATAACTCTGTACACATTCAGACAAAATGATTTGAAATTTTAATTTGTGCCTATGGATGATTGTTGATAGTTACAGCCGTCCCTTCAGTATCCTGTCTCAATCGTGGTATCTTGTATGTACTCCAATATTTTAACATCACCATCACCACCCTCATAAAACTCCGAACCTTTTAACGTCATTTATATGCCTGTGCTAGATCAAGCCTTCTCGGAAGGAAAGTCCTGGATTGCAGGCGTAGTGCACCCTCTTGATAGAGACATACTGTAGGGAGCCTATTGATTAATTAGTTAGTATCGGATCATCGTCTTGACTTTTAAACATACCAGAACTTCCTTAGCATTGCAAACTCTCCATGCAAGTTTGCGTACACTTCCATCTGCGGTAACAACAGGTGGCGCAAACTCGATACCGAACATCTCTCGAATGGCATAAACAATCCTTCTGGCATACTTTGTATCGCGCTCAACATGACCACCAAAAGGTTCCTCAGGCTGGTTGGGTGCAATGTCTGGGTCGCGGTCTAGACAGTTCTGAACAACAGGAAGAAGAGCCGCCTCGACAGATTGCTCGTACAAGCCCTTGGCGCCGAAATCCACATCCTCTTCATCGAACTTGCTGATTCGAATCTCGAAAGGCTCAGAAATTGCCATCGCATGGTGATGTCCGTTGTGATGGTATCGGAACTCGAAAACACCTTGCGTCCACCATAGCTTATCACCTTCGAAGACAACTTCACCTTCCACCAGGTCGATATCCGTCGGCTCGTCTGCTGACACCGGGTGTTCATTAACCGTAATACTGACATCGGCCGTCAAAGAGTCATAAGAACCAGCATTTGTAGGCGCCCATCGTCCCAGGGAAGAGACCTCGGTGGTCTCTCTTGAGCGATTGTCGGTGACCATGTAAAGACCAATCCAGTCCTTCTTACTGTGATTCGCTGGAGCCCTCCATTTAACACGAAGAGGTGCACCGTACTCGAAAGCCATGGTACGAACCGGCTTAGGGGATCGACCTGTCAAGCTTTCCTTTCCAGTGTACTTCTCAACAACGGGAGCATCGGCTAGTTGCGTACCCTCAACAGAGAGAGAATAATATTTGGGATCGTAGCCTTCTAGGTCTGGTGTAATTCTTGTAATGGTGAGTCGTGCGGGAGCCATGTTGAAAAGGGCCGAAGTATCTCTCACGATGGTCTTAACACCGGATGCGAACTTGGGACGAGCAGTATCAAGGAAGTCCTCGACAAATTGGCTTGTGTCGTCCAAAACCTTATCAACACTCTCTTGCCAGCCCTTGACAGGAGGAGGCAATGATTTCCTGATGAACTTGGTAAGGCCGGCTTCCTGGCGAAGGCTGCGACCATAGATCTTTTGCATATGGGGTCGCTCGATGTAAGAGATGTAGAAGACAGTCAATATCTGGGTAATGATTGCCATGAGGAAGATCGATCGGCTCCATGTGATGAGTGCGGCACCCCACACAGCAGCGGTACCAAAGAAACGATCCGGGTTGTTCAGGAAGCGATAGATGGACTTGTAAGTCAACTTGGCCTGTTGGTCAAAGAAGAAATCACCACAGAACCATCCAAACTCTCCAAGGGAATCATAAACACTGAAAGCGGTCCACAGCTGGAGGGCGATGAGACTAGCACCGAGGACGTGCTTTAGCATGACCAAGCCGTAGGCCCAGTCTTCAGGAGGGGAATACATCTTCCAGCATGCAGCCACAAAAGCAGTATTACACATGATCATGCTGATATGGTGCAGGCCCTTCCACTGGCGCCATGCCTCACCGGCACTCTCGCCAAACTTGAGGAAATGGCGGGTCCACATCTTGTTCTTGGATTGCTGGTCGAGGATAAGGCCCAGCCCAAGGTGGTACCATACACGCCAAACCAAAGCATGAACGACAAAAGCCGCCTGCCAAGCAGGAGTTGATGGTGTCACCAGAGTAAGGGTGGCTACGTAGAACGGCATGACGATAACGGCAAAGTCAGGCACCCGGAACAAATCGAGGTTACTTAAACCAACAAGGTTATGGACCTGATCAGGTGTTTCCTTCTGTGAAGGTTTGAGTGTCTGTTGGTCGAATGTACCTTCAAGTGATTTGGGATCGGCGGGTATGGCATCACTTTGGCCTCCGGAAATGGTTCGCTTGCGTGGAGGAGGTGGATTGTACGTCTTCTCGATGTGAGGATTCTCGACAATCACTAGGAAAGCAAATTGGGCCAGGTGTGCGAGGATCGAGATGAAGAGGACCTCATAGCTGGCTGCCATCATGGAGATACCATAGTACCCGGCATACCCGATTGAGTACATAGGATGGGGAGCCATTTCAAAGACACCGTCGAAGGTCAAGTCTTGATCAATGAGGTAGAAGAAGTCTCCCCAATACCAGGCAAAGTCTTTCACGACACGATGGGCATCCAATTTTACCCAGAGGTTGAAGCCGATTAGACTGATGCCAACGGCCCACCGGGCAAAACCAACCAAAGGGTTTTCGCCTTCAGGAGTGTGACCACAGACAATGGCGAACAGGCAGTAGGACACGAAATCACACATGAGGATCAAATCAACAACCCTTCGGAAGACCAACCAAGTATTGTACTCGATGGGAGCCTTCTCGAATTCATAGTCTTCTGGGATTTTTGTCTCCAGCTCGGTCTTTAAAAGCTTGTAGAGCCATGGTCGCGGGTTCTTGCCAGTTGACGGATCCTCAAAGAGCTTCCAGCGTTTAGCCCAGGTGACAAGACGACGATGGTTTGACTGAATCTGGAGGAGTACACCAATGCCAATGTTGTAACAAGCTCGCCAGAACAGAAAAACAGCAGCGAAAACGATGCGCTTTGAACCCGACGGTAAGAAATAAGCAGCTAGAATGTGAAGACCGAGAATTGTTAAGACAATTGCATCAGAAAGGTTCTTGGGTTGTCGAGGGTCCAAAAGCTGCGAAACCATATCATGGGTTGTGGGTACAATAAAGACTACAGCATGTGACTGTCAGCCAAAGACACACCAAAGCAACACACCACCAAATTAACCATAATCTGGGATTGACATACCTGTGCCGTCGGGTGTTCGACCATAAGTCTTACTCATCTTTTCAGAGGGGTTTGTTGAATCTGATGGCTCACGAACATGAGTTTGTTCTGGTTGTACGTCTTGCTGGGCAGTAGAGTTTACCCCAGATTGCCGTTGTCGCAATCCGGGGCCAGCATCTGGCAGATCGGCTGCAGTACTCATGACTGACGGCGATGCAGGAGCAGAGTGTGATCTTGGAGTGGTGGTTGTCACCAGAATTTGCCGTGAAGAATGGTAGGTTGAATACCAAGTAAAAGAAAGAATGTAAGTTGAGTACGAGAAGAAGATGAGGAGATGGGAATGAGAGGGCTTGTCGCAATAACACTCGGCTGTTAGGTCAATACGGCCGAAGTTCGAAACGACGTCAGGGCTCCGCTGGTTAGACTGTCCGAACGGGGTCACCTGGCTAAGGCGTTCGCTGGCTGTTTGGTCCCTGGCCTGGGCTAGGTCCTGTTGCTGGTCTGGAGCAGCGACGGCTCCATAAATTTGAAGACGGAGGGGATTTAGCAGGGGAGTGGCTGTCTATTCCCAGTGAGCGTTAGAGCATGCAGGACTGTATGCAGGAGGTTACAGGTTGATGATTGGTATTGGTGTAGGCTGTCAATGCGACTGACAGTATGCAACAGGTAGAGTGGTTGCTCTGCGTTCTTTGACCAATTCAAATGGTTATTGACTGAAGAAGTTTGGAATGTGAAAAGAAAATGATGAGGAGAGACAGACAGAAAGACAATTTGTAGACCGTGGAAGGTACCGGTCAAGAGCACCTGCTTCCCGGTGTCGAAATATGTGTCCTGTCGTGACACCTATGGCAGGAAGCCACTGTAACACGCACCTTCCTCTTGAACATGAGCGGAATCATTTATCAGAGCCAGTCAAGAGCCTGGCTTTCTACTGTGCAATGAGGCTTTGAATGGGGCGATGGCCATTTACACGGCGACAACAGCGCTAAACCCACTGCGATTCCCAGGGAATTCCATCTTCAAAGCGTGGGGCTACGGTAGCATGGCCGAAAGTGACGGTACAGTGGGGGACTTTGACCTTCCATCGTCTTCCCCCACTTCACTTCTCAGTCTCTCACTCTCAGTCTCTCACTCACTGGCTATTCACTTGCTGATTATCGAACGGTTTATCATCGAGAGAGAAAAGGGAATGGGTATTGCCGTGATTATCTTTTTAATCAGGCCTTGAATTGGAACTGGAACGTATGCTTTTGTTACAACGCAAAACAATTACTTGATGTTACAGAAACAAAACTCACTGCCACCGATTCTACCCGCTTTGGCCGCAGTAATTGCCGCTCTGCAGACAACAAGAACGGCCTGCATCCGGCGCCCGGCGCCGTTATGGAGGACCTCTCCCGATAGGTACTACGGGCCAAACCCCACCCCGATAGTGGGGGCTTCGGAAGCGAACTGTCGACATCTTCCAGGCAATTGATCGATCCAATGCTTTTACAGTGCAGTACAGTACCGGGTCCTTCTCATTTCTTTACCTCGACTGGTCTATAGGATCCTTGCAAGTTGTCTTCAACACGCGCGTGGGGTAGAATCACATGCAAATCTTACACTGAAGCTATGAAAGAGAAAACCACCCCAGACGATTTGTCCCAACAAAATGAAATAGCACTGCCTTTCTAGGGCCGTGATTGAATTGCAAGGGGTTACAGCGATGGCTTATTTGAGTCCTTTTGATCGACAAAAACAATTGACCATGTACAGACTGAGTGGCATGTGAGAGATCTTGGAGCTAAGAAACCAGGCAGTTATGTGATTAGAACCTTACTGTTTCGTTTCTTGTCGGATATTCGAGTGGCTTGGATTATCCGAGTACTCGGATTTACTGTTAAACTTCTTCCAGGCTGCAAAGGAGAAAGCAATACAGATGGTGAACCATCATGAATGGCCGAACCTTCAGGGCGTACATTGTCATCGAAGACAACGTTAAACGAACAATTGTTATTATTAAAATGTTAATCCTATTGGAGTTTTGTTTGAGCACGAGATCATCGTCCAAAACCAGCAATATCTCCATACAAGCATCAAACACTTACCCTGGCAATCCTATTTTTCAGGGTCTCGATCTATATAACCCCTTGTCCTGCAAGCTAGTGAATCTGTTGAGATACGAGAGAAGCCAATCGTCATAATTGTCGTGGCATTATTGCAGTTCCTATACAGGTAACCCGAGAGAGCTGCAGCAGCAAAGTTATATCCCGCAATGTTTGACCCATGCGCTTAAGCTAGCCTCTCTGCCATAGACGCGAGAACCGGGTAATATGGAAGAGGTAGCTTGTTCTTCATGCTTCTATTTCGTTCTAGATTTCTAGATTCCTGTGCTGTTAGATTGGGGGGTTTTACGGGATAGATGTATGCTTTACGCCTATTCGAGCGCAAGACGAATGGAGGAATCCATGAAATCAATCAAGAAGGGCTCTGCACTATCTAGATAATACTAAATGCATCTGCAAGAGTTATAGTGTATTGTTGCGTCCTCTTGAACGTTCGTTGATCAGTCACCTCTTTCCACAATTGCCTCTCTTTCTTAGACGATCCAATCAGCACTAGATGGTGTGTTGATGAATGTAACCCTGAGAGTCTATTAAAACGAGCAAAGCAAGTTTAGCATTATCTCACTTGACTGTGTAACGCCTGGAGGGCAACCTTTAGTCCATATGCCCCTAATAAAATAAGCTCCGTCTTCTCACACCAGAATAGAAGAGACTATCTCATATGTTAAGAAGTGATTGTTACATGCATTTATCTTATTGTATTCAACATTGGTCCCGGTCATTGAGTGGCTAAGCCTGGGCTTGGTCATTGGTGAAGTTCAGAAGCCCACCTCATCATATAGTCCCTCGTTACTCACCATAACTTACTGGCGAACATACCATACGTGTCTTAGCTGTCTGGGGTAACCACTAGACATGTTGATTGGTGAAGACATGCAGCTTGCTCAGGACTACCGTAACCCCTTTCTACCTACTGAAACAGCCAAAGCATTACACAGCAAGTCTTGTCTTGTCAATATCACCATCACTTAGAATATCAGTTTGTTAAGAATTGTTCATTTATGATCTTCCCCATCACATACAATCACTTTTCCCATTTCAAACCGCACATATCCTGAAGGTTTCATTGAAATCATGAGGTTGAAAGATATTCTTTTCCCATCTCAACAACCACGAATGCATTACCATGTGTCCCCTAGCTAAACCACGCGCACAAGATTCGATAAGCAGCAACAACCCCTTTTTTACTGAGCCTTCTTGGCAAACTCCACCCGGAGAATGAGATGCTTGAAACCAAATCCGTCCATCTTCGCACAGGCCTTGACGGCGTCGCCGCGGTCCGCAAAGCTGATGAAGGCGAATCCCTTGGCCATGCCGGTTTCTCGGTCCTTGGCAAGGAATACTCGTGTGACACGACCGAAACGCTCGAACATATCGCGCAGCTCTCCCTCTTCGGCCATCTCGGAAACCTATCGTCTGTCAGTATTTTGTTGTCGAAGAACATTACGGCAGCACTACTCACGTTGGTGACACGCAGTGTAGCCAGGTCGTCTCTCTCGCCAAACTTGGATCCCATTCTCTCGCCAGCAGATCCACCGTTGCGCAGGGCAGGAGGAACATATGATCCCTTCTTGACCCCAGCAGCAGCAGCAGCTGAAGGCTCGTCTCCCATACCAGCAGCGACATCGGCAGCGCCGCTCTCTCCGATGGGCGCCATGGTGTCCTTGTAAGGACAGCGGGCAGTGAAATGCTGACCGTTGCAAATACGACACTTGACTTGCTTGTCCTTGAGCTTGTCCTTCATGGACTGGGCAGCGGTGTCGGTGGCCTCCTCCTTCTCGGCCTTTCGCCAGTTGACGCTTGGTCGGAAGATGATGTTCTCACCGACGGAAGTGGTGTCGGGAGCAGGGCCTGCGGGATCCTTTTGGCTGAGGCCGAACTTGGGCCATGTCTTTCGGTCGGCGACGCGGGGGTTTACGGTCTCGGTGTGGGTGGTGAATCGGACTCGGCGAGTGGTCTTAACCTTACGACCGTCGTCATCGTAACGGAATGTGATGATGGTCTTTGTTCCATCCTTGTTGGAGATAGTCTGAGGCTCGGGGAGATCGGTGGATGTCTCCTCGATATCGTCGTCGTCGGCCCAGTCGTGCCTTTTTTCGAATGGTGGGGTTAGTCACAGATATCGATAGAATACCCCAGTTCGGGAGGTAGCAAACAGAAAAAGCGCTGGGCGGACTCACTTGGGCTGGTTCGCAACTGCGGCAGCCATGATGAATCGAGCGTATCCGTGCGACTTTTTTTAGGCGGTTTTTGTAGGTCTCGCGGTACAGTCGGGATGCGTCGTCGTGGCTCGTCGATTCGTGATCGTGGGGTTTCTTAGTGATGGTTGAATTTATTGCACTTTTTCGTGGTGCGGGCGTTTGAGCAGTGGTGGGGCAGCAGTATGCGCCACACCTCAAACGACCGAAAATGAAGATCACATGATGTGCACTAGCCACAGGGCCAACTTAATCCGATCCGGTTCTAGAACGTCTATAGAGGCGTTATTGATGAGTTACGTTACTTTGCTAATTAATGTGATATTGACGAGGCTTGATGATGGGCTTCGTAACGTGGAACATGCCATTATTAGAAGCGGTAATTGCCAGTGGCTCAACGGGAAATCGGCATCATCGCAGGTCGGACTCGGATACGACGCGAGGAGATGTGGCGCAGTTGAACCTTTCTGTAATGCGCGCGACAAAACAGACGCCGAGTTTGTTTCATAGGTGCATTCCTCTCGAGAGAAGCCGTGAAAGCCGAATTTCCCATCAATGTTTGCAGATGTTTGTGAGTGCTGATACATACTTGTGACTCGGCAAAGACCCTTGAGAGTCCCCTTGTTGAGGAATCTAGTGGGTATCAGAAAAGATGCCATTTCAGTAACCAGTCGACGGAAATAGATGGTCTGAACACTGGTCTAAGCTCGCATGAAATGATCAAATTATTTCGTCCCTCATGCTCTGGACAGTTAATTATTCTGACTCCCGGACGGAGATGAAGTGCCAAGTGACAGGGCGCTGAACCATCTAGAGCCAAGCGTGGCGCAGCCTACGAAGCATCCAATAGCGTCCGCGTAATCCCGCAACGCGGTCTCTGTGGCGTGCAGCAAAGACCATGTGAGAGCACTCGGAGGGAGCTTGGGATGGAGAACCGGAGACTTTGGCACTGACACCAAACACTTTTAACTCCGGGGACCTTGGCTTGCAGTTACGTTGTGGTCGCTACGTTGTTCGTTCCGTTCCGATCCTTTTTGTATTCCTTCATCCCATCTCCATTTCTATCACACACTCTCTTTCTTTCCTTTATTTATTTTCTGATCGATATTTCCTCGTACCTGACGATCTATCCTTTACGCGACTGCAAGATCCACCTCCTATCCACTGTCGCATACATACTATCACAATGGCCTTCAAGCAAGACGAACCTCCGGCCTACGGCCCTCCTCCAGGTGCCCCTCAACCTACCTACGGCGGCTACCAGCAAGATCCATACATGCAGGGCGGCGCTCCCCCTCCTGGCGGTCCTCCTCCTCAGGGTTACTACCAGCAAGCTCCTCCCCAGATGGGCTACCCTCAACAACCCTTTCCCGCCGGCCAGGGCCCTTATCCTCCCCAGCAAGGACCCTACGGCCAGTATCCTCCTCCTCAAGGCTACTACCCCAACGATGATCAACGAGGAAACGGCGGCGGCGCTGGCGGTGGTCTCATGACCGGTCTTCTCGCTGGTCTGGCATGCTGCTGTTGTTTGGACTGCCTTTTCTAAGCGACGCCCTTTGATCTGAACCATTACTCGATATCACCCGCCGATAACGGATCTACAAACTACGAAACTGGAGGATTTTGCGACGAGCGCAGGCAATGGAAAGGATTTCATCTTTCATGGCGTTGGGGTTTCTTTGACTGCGAAAGGTCTTATTCTACGTTACGCGTTTCTTTGTTTTTCTCGATACCTAGAATACGACTTTAATCACATAATATTCTGTCCCCCATTATCGAGCGCATGATTTTGAACTTATATTGGTGTGGTGTTTTGATACTATGCTGCGGCAAAGAGTGTCTCAAACTCATCCCTGACCTTTGCGACACAGTCATTCGAGTAGATCATTTTCTGCACGTCAGGCGACGTCCACTTATCGGGAACCGAGCCACTGGTCTTGTGCTCCTTGAACATCCTATCTCTCTCCTCCTTTGCTTTTCCTTCGCCCAGATGCAAAGTTCGACCAGATAAATACGCCATTTCAACGAGACTCGATGTCCATTCCTTTCGAGATAGCTCGTATACCTTGAGACACTTGGCGATAGTCTCCGGCTTGGTATCGGGGGCAAGGCAAAGAACTTCCGCGATTGTCGAGCCATCTTCAATAGCCATGGCAGCTCCCTGGCTAAGGTGAGGGAGCGTTGGATGGCAAGCATCTCCTATCAAGGTGACTACACCATTCGTCCAAGTCGGTAAAGGCTTGTACATCCTCAATCGCCACTCGCAGACCTCTCCCTCAGGAACAAGGTTAAGCATCTTTTGCACGAGAGGGCAGAATTCCTTGAAGACATTCAACATGACCTCCTTGGATCCCTTTGTTGTGTAAGTTATGGACGGGGCGGTAGCAAAGTTCTCATCTGGCTGAACAGTTGACAAGTTATAGATAGACTTATCAGCGATAGAGTAGGCGATGATATGTCTCTTCTCTCCCACCCACCGCACAACCTCGTCACTGTCAATAAGAGCCAGAAGTTCAGGATCATGCGCCATGTCTTCCCGGTTGAGCATGATGCGGTAGGCAGCTTGGCCAGTCTCTGCCTCTTCAGGCGTGGCGTTAACTTGCTGCAGGATCTGAGAGCGAGTAACACTTTTGATACCGTCTGCGCCGAGGAGAATATCGGCTTGACGTGTAAAGGGCTCTCCATCTCTTGGCTTGAGCTTGAAGGATGCTCGAGGAGAGAAAGACTCAATCTCGACTAAGCTTGTTGAGAAGTTGAAGGTGATGCTTTCATGTTTCTTGCACGCCTCGTACATGTGACCAGCCAGAGATGATCTGTGGCCGCAGAGGTGGGAGTACCCGTATTTGCCCTTGATGTCTGGCATGTCCACATGTGCAAGTTCAATATTGGTTGAGCCCTCTGGTCAAGTCAGTGAATATTCCGCATGAAATGCTCAAGACTCACGTCGAATACTGCTGCCAGCCACACGAGTTGCTTCCCGTTCAATATCATCCCAACAACCTAACCTATCAAGAATCCTTCCCACATTAGGAGGCATCTGGATACCCGCTCCCACAAAACCAAGATTACTGGCCGTCTCATAGACATCGATGTTCTTGAACCCTCTTTTGGCGAGAGCGAGGGCAGCTCCTAGGCCGCCCATCCCAGCGCCTAGAATGGCGATTTGTAGGTCTTTTATATCAGTCATGATGGCAATTGGTAAGGGACTAGGATGATAGATTTGGCATTGAGGGATTCCCTGGCGATTTATATCAGATTAGATCCGATGACGGTCGTTCCTTTATCCGTGTAACCATCCCGAAGTAAATGCCGGGATGCGGGGACCGGAAGTACATCACTGAATGGAGCTCTTGATTTAAGCAAAATACCAACACAAGACTCTTTTGATTACATATCTCAATGGTATTTAAGAATGTATTTTTCACTTTATTTCCTTTTCGAGCTTGTATTTGGCTCCTATATCGGCGGGTGCAGGTGGTTTTATTATTCATTGTATATCTAGGCCGTCTAAATAGTGTCTACAGTATCAATGCTCCGCTATGGTCACTAATCCACTTACACCTGCACTTTATCCCCGAGAATGTATTGACTGTTTAAGAACATGCTTCTCGGAGATTTTTACTGGAAATGCTTAGTTACTGCTATACCGTTGTGGGAATATAGTTCGGTAAGTGGGCGCTCGGAATCCGAATGACAGACCGTTGCACATGTTGATCTATTGCTACTTGTTCCTATTTGACTTGTTCACTTTGTGAATGTTGGCAGCTCCGGATCAGAGGCTCTTGTAAATGCTCACACTCGTAAAAGAATATCCAAGATTCTCCAGTCCTCGGACGACATGCTTTGTTGCTTGATATCTATGCTCTTGAATATCGAGTTGGTTCGCTGAAAAGTCTCAGTTGAAAAAAAGACGTGGTAGAGAACGGCTGAATCGGCACATACAAGTGAATCTCTACTATTTCAGGAACATAATTTCTATTGTATGATTATCCCTGTAGACACAATCCATGTCGTTTACCAAAATTTGACTTCAAGTGGATGTTTCGAAACAGCAGTGCTGCATGAATTAAGCCGCTTGATATACAGTACTCTCTAAATAGCTCCTCCATGGATGCTACACTAGACATCATGTATCACCAAAGAATCAAGGCACGAATCTTGAAAAAGAACATAAGAAAATAAGCTTATTTATTCGTTTCTGCATTCTTGCCTGAAATGAGAAACATCTCAATGTTAATGGCACGACATTTCTCTACCCTAGGTATGTCTGCATGCAGTGTAGATCCAGACCACGACTATTAAACCCGCAACCCCTACCGCTCCATCCAATAGAACTACATCCTCTCAGCACGAGCACCGTTTCACCTACCAAAAACAAAAAGTCCTCAGGGTGGGAAACCAAAGCTCCTTCCTGGTCTGGTTATTCTTAATTATCTTATCCTATACTATAACTGACCAGGCCAATCGAGTTGAGCACGTGCTCACCCGAACATCAGTATATCTGGAAAATGGCCGCCAGCAAAAGCTCTTTTCTAAACAGGCAGAGTACTTGTTTGGTAATCATGGTCGCTTCTGGTTTGATTGGCCTTTTGGCTGTTGTTTTCCAGATATCCTTCGCAAAGGCGGTGGACGTCAATGTCAAAGTCGACGCCTACACGAGCGAAGTTGAATCAGACTCTACAACTATCTACTACTCTGAGAAGAATCCTCTATTAATTGGAAACGATGGAGGGCCTGACAAGGGTGGTTTTCACGTTTATGACTTCAACTCCAAATCTCCTCTGAAAGAGGTCGCCGCCAAAACTCCTGGACGCAGCAAGCTTGTTACTACAGTCTACGATGTGGATGATAAAGATGTTCTCGTTACTATCGCGATGCCTGACTCTATTCTTCGCGCGTACGAGATGCCCAAGTTTAAGCAGATCGAGGACGCGGATTTGAAAGTGTTGGGCGATTGGTCCGCGCTGTGTAGCTGGAAGAGTCCTGCTGGGAATGACTATCTCTATCTGTTTGGAAAGGGAGAGGCTGTTCAGCTACTTCTACGAGAGACTAAAAAGTCACTTGAGTTTGTCAAGGTATGTATCCCTTAGAGATATGCTACTGTTTACTAATGTTGTCAGATCCAAAAATTCCCTACCGAATTTGAGACGGACTCCTGTGCTGTGTCACGCTCTGAGTCACGTATGTACATCTCAAAAGGCGACAAGACCGTGTATGCATTCGCGCTCAAGGAATCTACTGAAGCGCCTAAGATTACTGAGGTCGGCAAGGCAGCGGACGATGTGACAGGCTTGGCGATCTACGTGCCAAAGAAGGGCTCCGACTACCTATTTGTCGCCCAGACAGACAAAATCGCCGTCTACGACCAATCCTTGAAGCTCAAGGGAACTGTATCTTTAACTGGACAGGAAGACGTTGAGATCAAGGGCTTGGACATCTACCAGGGCTCGACGAAGAAATATCCCGCTGGTGCTTTAACGTACGCCATCGAGTCAGAGGAAATCAACGGGTTTGGGGTCTCATCACTCGAATCAGTTCTCAAGAATCTCAACATCGAAGCGAACACAAAGTACGACCCAAGAAAGGTAAAGTCCGACTCCAAGACTGAACCAATCTGCAAGACTTGCGGTGGCAATGGATACTGCATCAAGGACAAGAGCCAAAAGTGCCAGTGTTTCTCTGGTTTTGCCGGAAAGACCTGCAGCAGCTTCACTTGCGTCAACAAATGCTCCGGCCACGGAAAATGCGTCGGAGCAAATGAGTGTAAATGCGATAAGGGATGGGGTGGTCTACACTGTTCGTTCCTCCTTGTTGAGTCAACATATGAGACTGAGCCAAAACTCGGTGATGGTGATGACCCTGCGATCTGGATCTCTCCCGAGGGTGCAGAGAAGTCTCGCGTTATCACAACGATGAAGTCTGGAAAGGAGGCTGGTCTCAATGTTTTCGATCTGAAGGGCAATCTTGTTCAGAGTTTCGCGGCGGGCAAGCCGAATAATGTCGACATGATCTATGGCTTCGAGGCGGGTGATCGCAAGGTTGATCTTGCTTTTGCTGCGTGTCGAGAGGATGATACTCTATGGTAAGTCGACCTATGTTATGATTGATGGTTAGCTGACGATATAGTCTCTTCGAGATGCTTCCCAACGGGACACTGACCAATATCCCTGGTGGTTCTCACCCTGTTGTCGAGGATTATACCGTGTACGGCTCGTGCACATATCGTTCACCCAAGACAGGAAAGCAATACCTCTTCGTCAACGAGAAATCAGCACGATATCTCCAGTACGAACTTACATCCACATCCAACGGAACACTCAAGACCGATCTTGTACGAGAGTTCCAAGGCGGTAGCGGTGGACAAGTCGAAGGTTGTGTCACTGACGAAGAAAACGGCTGGATCTTCCTCGGAGAAGAACCTTCTGCCCTATGGCGATACGGCGCTGAGCCAGACTCCAAAGATAAAGGAGTCATCATCGGCAAAGTCGGTGATGGAAAACTCTACGGAGACGTAGAAGGTGTGACGCTCGTCTATGGCTCAAAGCCAGATGAGGGATACATCCTAGTATCATGCCAGGGCGTAAGCGCATATAACGTCTACCAACGAGCTTCACCACACGAGTACGTCGCCACATTTACACTCGTTGATTCATCAAATGGAAAGATCGACCATGTATCCAACACCGATGGTATAACGGCTGTAGGCACAGCACTGGGCAAGGACTTTCCTCACGGGTTGGTAGTTGTCCATGATGATGCTAATGAGTTGCCGAATGGCAAGACTAGTGCCGAGGCGAGCTTCAAGATGGTTAGTCTTGAGGAGATCCTTGGGTCTAAGATTCTCGGGAAGAAGGGCTTGTTGGATCAGGTGGATAAGGAGTGGGATCCCAGGAAGATGGGCAGAACGGTTAGCAAGTCCTGAAGTTGTTCTTCCATACACAAAGTAGTATCAACACTCATTTCCTCCGTACAAAGCCGGACTTGCTCACCTCTGAAGCTATTCAGACCTGAGATAAGATAACCGTGGACAAAGAAAATGATATCCTGCTGCAATATTCTGTCAGCATAGACTCTGATCGGGATGCTCATGTGCTGGGTAACGGCGTCGAGGCTTCATTCAACCGGTCAATGCTCTTGCCATCTTTTGAGATTCGCATGTAGTCCAAGTTCGATTGCTTATAGTCGCTACGTTGAGAGTGTGATTGGTTCGGATGGTGTTGGCGTTGCAGTGCTTGACACTGGCGGGACCTGGCTACGGGAGATAAGTGTTTGCATGAGATAGCACGGATAAGTCATACTGACTATTGATATCTAATTGTGCTTTTGTTTACTGCTCTGACTCCTTAAAGGTCGGAAATGCTCAGTGTTGAGTGTGTATCAACGGGCTCATATTTACAAGTCGATGGTATCACGAGTCACTTCAGCACTGCAAGATAATACATTCAATTCCTTTCCAAACTCTTCTTTGATACTTTTCAACGTTCAATTCCTTCCAATCATCCTTGTTTCATGTTCCACCCAACGTTCGCAGACTTCAACCGCCATCTTACCCCTTTTGGGTGTCAATAGAGCCTCAAAAGGCACTGACAGCTCCAAACAAGCCAATCATCCACAACCAACAGTTTAAACCGTCAAAGATCATTCTTGGCTTGTTCTTGTTCGTGTGTTCGCGTTTGACAGGTAAAAAGCGACGCCAATTGGTAAACTTTGCCTGTCTACTCGTACCTGACCCGATGCATCATTGGTAGATACTCGTACTCGTAGCCTTGTACCTAACGCCTCGACATCAAGTCCGTGTGGCACTACCAGTCTGGAAAGAGTTGAAGTGATGTTCCATGTAGTAACAGAACGCCAACAACACAGGCTATTCTCACTTCCCCTTGCAAAACTTCGATCTTGCATCCATCTCGTGGCTGACATACTTTTTAGTCTCTTTCTCTTTCTCTCAAACTCTTTGATCATAATTTCTATTCAGGATGAACATGTATCTCGTGCGTGTGAAGCGAGGGTGGGCTTATTGACCCCGCGACCTGAATAGAGCCTCAATAGGATGAACGGACTACACCAAGATACCAGCCATGAAAACGAAGAGGCGAAGACACTCTTACTTTTCTTTCTTCCTCTATCATGAACATTTGAACATCAAGTCTATAAAAAGATTGCCAAATCCTGCTTAAATATTCCTTCTTTTCTTCTCCAGACTCGTTCTCCAAACACAAGGACTACGATAATCTCAACACTCACACACACGAACCACTCTTTTTTTACATTCACTACATTCACTACTACGACACGAACACACGACAAGTACTGGACGAACCATGAAGTACTCCGTCTTAACTCTGGCCGCCGTGGCCGGTACCGCTCTTGCGGTGGCCGTTCCGGACCCTATGCCTGAGCCTGTGGCTGATCCCTGGTGCTGGTGGAAGGGCCAGCCTTGCTGGAAGGCCAAGCGAGAGGCTCAACCCGAGCCTGAAGCTGTGGCTGCTCCTGAGCCCGATCCTGTTGCCGAACCCATGCCTTGGTGCACTTGGAAGGGTCAACCTTGCTGGAAGGAGAAAATGAAGATGAAGCGTGAGGCTCAGCCCGAGCCTGTTGCTGCTCCTGAACCCGACCCAGTCGCTGAGCCGATGCCCTGGTGTACCTGGAAGGGTCAGCCATGCTGGAAAGAAAAGATGAAGATGAAGCGCGAAGCTCAGCCTGAGCCTGTCGCCGCTCCTGAGCCTGATCCAGTTGCTGAACCCATGCCTTGGTGTACTTGGAAGGGACAGCCTTGCTGGAAGGAGAAGGTGAGAATCAAGCGCGAGGCCCAGCCCGAACCCGAAGCCGTCGCTGCCCCTGAGCCTGACCCAGTTGCTGAGCCTATGCCTTGGTGCACTTGGAAGGGACAGCCTTGCTGGAAGGAGAAGATGGCCAAACGTAATGCCCAGCCTGAACCCATCCCTGAGCCCCAACCCGATCCTGTCGCCGAACCCATGCCCTGGTGCACCTGGAAGGGCCAGCCTTGCTGGAAAGAGAAGATGGCTAAGCGTAATGCCCAGCCTGAAGCTATTCCTGAGCCCCAACCCGATCCCGTTGCCGAGCCTATGCCCTGGTGCACATGGAAGGGACAGCCGTGCTGGAAGGAAAAGATGGCCAAGCGTGAAGCTCAACCCGAGCCCGAAGCCGTTGCTGCTCCCCAACCCGACCCCGTCGCTGAACCCATGCCTTGGTGCACTTGGAAGGGTCAGCCGTGCTGGAAGGAGAAGATGGCCAAGCGTGAAGCCCGCCCCGACCCTGTCCCCGCTCCTCAGCCTAATCCCGTCGCCGAGGCTGATCCTTGGTGCACCTGGAAGGGCCAGCCATGCCACAAGAAGCGCGAAGCCGCTCCCGAGCCTTGGTGCTGGTGGAAGGGTCAGCCATGCTGGAAGAAGACCAAGCGCAACGCTGCTCCCGAGCCCATGCCCGAGCCCGCCAACGAGCCCAGATGGTGCTGGTGGAAGGGCCAACCTTGCTGGAAGTCTAAGCGTGATGCCTCCCCCGAGCCCTGGTGCCTCTGGAAGGGTCAGCCATGCTGGAAGGCCAAGCGCGATGCCGGTGTCGCTCTCTCCAACGCTCTTCACTCAACCCGCGGCCTGACCACTCGCTCCATCGTCGAGACCGAACACCTCCCCCGCGACGCCGCTCACCAGGCCAAGCGCTCCATCGTCGAACTCGCCAACGTGATCGCTCTCTCCGCCCGCGGCAGTCCTGAGGATTACTTCAAGAGCCTGTACCTCGAGGAGTTCTTCCCCGACATGCCCGCCAACGCTACCGCCAAGCGCGACGTCAAGACTCTCCAGGAGGATAAGCGCTGGTGCTGGTGGAAGGGACAACCTTGCTGGAAGGCCAAGCGCGCTGCCGAGGCTGTTCTCACTGCCGTCGAGGGTGAGGATGGTGCTGGTGCCCCTGGTGGTCCCGAGGAGCACTTTGATACCTCCAACTTCAACCCCCAGAACTTTGCTGCCAAGCGCGATCTCATGGCTATCAAGGCCGCTGCCCGCAGCGTTGTCGACTCCCTTGAGGGTTAAGTAAGTTTGATCATTGAATCAAGAGGTGTACTGTTCTAACAAGTCACTTTAGGTACCGTTTGCACGATGTTGATATTTCTTTCGCCATTCTTTTGTCTATGAGTATTAGCAAAAACGGTTCGAAAAAAAAAAAGGAGGACGAGACAAGGAACAGGTGGATGGGCCATGTGGGAGTATCTCCCGATTTTTTTTCTCTTCTTTAGCAGCTTGAATACGCTGCATCTTATTTTGAATAACGGCACTGGACGACTCTGGAGTCTGCTGCTCCTTTTTTTATGGACGCGAATATGCCTTGGTGCATGAGTCGCTGCATGGCTGGAATAGCTGGAATAGTTTGAATTCAACTGTTTGTCTCGATATATGATTTATTGCTCATGTGAAAGGTTGCAGTGACTGTGACTTGGAGATTGTTTGGTGCCTTGACAGAGCCGCATGAGGCTCAAATTTTGAGCCCGGTTGGCATGGATACGACCAGATAAAATCTGACCTTGGGCATGGATTTTGACATGACCTATCGTAGGATCAATCATTCGAGAGTATAGACATTGAAGTCGTACAGCCCAACGTTGATGCCAAGCAGATACGATGTCGGTTGGTACTCTGGTTGATATCCAGACATACATAGTGCAGATACTGCGTGCAGATACGGCGACATTCAAGTCGACTACAGACAATCACAGCCTTGACCTTTATCAGCCAAGGCCATTCACAATTTTAAATGACAAAAGTATGTACGTTCAATCATTGCGCTCCTCCCCATCGTCGAGGGAAGCACCGCACCCAAGATTGTTCGCTTTTCTCTCCATTCTGTGTTCCTCTGAATCGACGGTCCTGGGCGCAAGCCTTGCGACGCACCTCGCATCAATTATAGCAAAGAAGAACATGAACGTTGTTTTTTGCGTTGTTCAATATTTTGAATTGGAGAGAAAAGAAAGAAAAGAGACTAAAAGATTTCTGAGAAAAGTTTCCTTTTGTACGCGTTGAGGATAGTGGGGCAGACCAAAATTTGTGCCTGGTGCGCTAGGCTGCCATTTTAGGTGAGAAGCTGGAGGTTGGTTCAGGGTATCAAATCCACTCAGAGGCACTGGACCCTTAGAGACGGGCAGAGCTTTACTCTGACGTGGATACGGATACATAGTAGATGCATTACTTATTAGTATCTCACCTCAGACAAGGAACTCGAATTAACGCACATTTCATTAGCTACGATCTTCTTCTAAGCTGCATAGTGGACTATCGTGATCCAGAATGTCCACCTGCCCTATCAAAAATACCCATGTCCGATCTCATCGTTGTTGCAGCTAGCTATCACTCACTCACAGCGTCGATCTGTTTCACCCCATCACATGTCAAGCGCTTAGAGTTGGTTATTAGCACATCCACCTATGGCCTCAGTTGCTGCATACTTATCACGGCCTTCGTCCAATTGAACCACTCACTAACTACAGTGAAAACCACCAGGGTCATTGGCAGCCTATACGACAAGACCAATCGAGCTCCAAGAGCTTGGGCTGAGACTATATTGTGGCGGAGCTCTAAAGCCCCCACAGGCTTCTCACGATGCAGCAAATAAAGACTCAATCCAAGCTGTGCCAACTCGGAATAAAGTGCCGTCAAAATGCAGCATCCATGTTTGTTAAAGAGTCGATATTATCTTGGTGTGAGCAAAGCCAAGACAATTCCGATCGTGGCAGTGCATCATTTCAAGTCTATCGATTCTTGGTATGAGCCCATAAAATACTTGAATAATATCCTGTTTCTTCTGTGATTCATTACCTGTTTCTTGCGTTTCATGTCCATATCCAGGTGCTGATCTGAGCTGAGCTGAGCTGAGCTTATATCCCCGCGACTGACTGCCCCCTCATCTCACTACCACTTCAACCTCACAACAAAACGTCATATCAAAATGGCCGCAGACCTCGCCAACCGCATCGACAAACTAAATCCCTTCAAAAGCAAACGCGCAGAAGATGAAGAATACGGTGAAGAAATCGACAACAACACCGTCGCAGGCAGCGGCCACGGAGGTCGACACATCGTCACTGACCTTAGAGTCAGCAGCGCCCTGAGAGAATTCATCGTCAATGAGAAAATCCTCTCCAAGAAAGAAGCAGGCGTTAAATCAGACGATGCGTCGCGCGCGCTGCTGGAGCTCGTCAGCAAACCGCACATTGTCGTGCCGCCTGAGCTGATGGATAGATCGCATCCTTTGCCCGAGTATTTTATTAGTTCCAGTCATAATACGTATCTTATGGCGCATCAGCTTTATGGATCTTCCAGCGCGACGGCTTATGAGACTGCTATCAGAACTGGAGCGAGATGTGTGGAGATTGATGCGTGGGATAATAGCGATGATAAGGATGAGCCCAAGGTTACGCATGGATATACCTTGGTGTCCAACATTTCTTTCCGCGCGGTGTGCGAAACCATCAGAGACTCAGCTGATCAGGAAGAGCTTGACTCGAGAAAGTATGGTTTCCGACCTTCGCCTATTCTGCTGTCTCTGGAGAACCACTGCGATGCATACGGCCAAATGCGCCTTGTCAATATTATGCAGGAGGTCTTTGCCCATCGTCTTGTGAGCAAGGAAGTGCGAGATATCGGCCACAGGGAAGAAGCTGGAACAGGAGATCATGTGCTTCTGGAGCAACTTGGTGCTAAAATCGCTGTCATCGTCGAGTACCATTTCCCAGGCGAACCGGCAGACAGCGACACCAACTCAGATGACTCGTCAGACGAAGAGGAAGAGAAAGCCGCGCGGAAGGAGTACAAGGAAAAGAAGGAGGAGGAAGAGCCCTCGATCATCATCCCTGAACTTGCTGAGCTAGGCGTCTACGCGCAATCAGTCAAACCAGCCGACAACTCATGGTACGAAGAAGGCACTCTCTCCAACGGACCCCATCACCACCTCATCAACGTCTCCGAGTCAGGTCTAGGGAAACATCTCCCCGACCACGCAGCAGCCATCTCCCGCCACAACGCCCAGCATCTCATGCGCGTCTTTCCCAAGGGTACACGAATCTCATCTACAAATCTGAAGCCCGTTCCTTATTGGGGAATCGGAGCTCAGATCTGCGCTCTCAACCTACAGAGATTCGGAGCTAGCAACCAACTCAACGAAGCTCTCTTCAGCGGCTCAGACGGCTACATTCTCAAGCCCGCCGCTCTTCGACCCGGTGGAAATGGGAAGCTGAGTACAGGTCGAAGCAAGCGTCTTCGTCTCCGCGTCGCAGGCGCAACAGATATCCCCGTCGACGACGAATCCCAGGGCGAGTCCATAAAGCCGTACCTGACATGCACACTCTACCACCCCGACAATCTAAAAGATGACCCACCGAAGCGCAAGACCAATCCGTACAAGCAGCACAAGCTCGAGTTTCTGCACCGAGGACCAAACCCACCGCCCACAGAGCCGCTTTGGGACGAGACTCTGACGTGGGAGTACGAAGATAACGAGTTGGTGTTTTTGAGGATGCTTATCAAGAGTGATGATAGTTGGTCGCGGAACCCCATGTTTGCGGTTGCTGCTGTGCGATTGCTGTATGTGCAGCCTGGATGGAGGTTTATTCGAATGATGGATTTGAAGGGTCATGAGACGCAGTGCTCGATCCTTGTGAACTTTGAGATCATTGATGCTTAGTTGGAGGGAAGGAGGTTTATGAGTATATGAATATATGAGATGCTGCGTGTTTAATAGACTTGACTTTGTTTCTGACTGATCAGAGACCGTTCTTTGGCATGGTGTCCTCAGGGTGTCAGAAAAAAATAAAGTACTACTCTAAGCAAACCTAAGATAACCGAATCATTTCGTCTCTTATGCTTTCCCTGGCCAAGTCTTCTGATACCCTGACGATGGGCCTACCGTTAGTGCGTTGCAAGAATATACATCAGTTTTATATTGAGTTGTATTTAACTTTGCTGTCACTATCCGATGGGAGGAAGGATAGGTTTAGCGTGGATTTCGGATATATTCTGTAGATTCTATTGTACCGAACGGATCCGGATATCGTGGTAGGACGTCCGCCCTGGGCCAGGCCTCCTCCGGATATGCCATGCGACAATCTGAGGCCTCGGAGACATTTGAGTCGGTTTTTATATATGATATATTTTGCATATGATCCAGAAACTCAGACACAGAAATAGCCATGTACAGCGGCCCTTGGTTCTGCATAGCGGGTTGACATGTAGGCCAACCCATGCTAAAACAACACAGCGATTATTACAAATTACAATAAAATATGTGAAATACAGTTCTTTTGTAGAAAAATCTTAGAAACTCATTGAGAGTTCTATCTGAGCTTAAATAACCATTCTCCAGTTACAGTAATACTTCAATCGCAAATGCTGCTCATTCTGAGTCAACGTCATACCCGGTAGTTCAAGATCCGAGTGGCTTCGGATGTTAACTTACACAGCCATCCAAGCATACCAACAGCACAAGTATAAGAACGAGACCATGACGCTAAACAACAAAATAATATCCAATTCAAATTTTAAGCAGTCATCATTTATATATCCAGAAACCACTAAAAATGGCACTCATCACAGCCCTCTTCGCCCCAATCCACCTCCTCTCCTTCTCAACTCTCATCGGCTCCCAACTCTACCAAACCTTCATCGTCACAAAAATCGCCTTCAAACACCTCCCACGCACACCATACGTAACATTCCAAAAGCACATATTCCCGATCTATTTCCAAAGTCAAGCTTTACTGCTCTTCCTCGCCGCAGTAACGCTACCGCCATACGGTCCTGTCTCGCTGATTCAGCATAAGAGTGATTGGATTCCTTTTGCTGTTTCAAGTATTGTAGCGGGCTTGAATTTGATGGTTTTTGGACCGAGGACTAGGAAGTTGATGTTGGATCGTGTTGAGCAGGGTAAGTTGGAGAATGAAGCTGGATGGACGGATGCTAATTTGAGATAGGAACTGTGGATGCAAAGAGTTTGGAGGGACCGAGTCCTGCTATGCAGGTTCTGAAGAAGAAATTCAAGACGACGCATGCTATGTGCATTCATTTGAACTTGATTGGGTTGGGTGCTCAGCTTTGGTATACTTGGAGATTGGCTTCTCGTCTTGAAACGTCTCTGTAGTCGATAACTGCAGACAAGATGCTTGTATTAGACACACTGACATAGATTGCAACTCTCTACTTCCTTTCCATCTTTCTCATCCTCCACAAGCTTGACTTGAAATGAAGAAATCACTTCGGCGTCTATGAAGGCAGATACACAATCATCTCCAGCCCTCCAGAATAGGCAGTAGTAGTCGTCTTGAATCCATTCTTAGGATCATGAATGTGATCCAGAAACTCCTTGTACAGCGCCTTTGCCATCTTTGTGTTGTCAGCCAGAATGATAGCACCTCTTCTCAGACGAGGCTTGACGGCTTGCAGAGCTGGGAGTGCAAGTGGTGTCCAGACTATTCTCAGTTAGTATATCCTCAAGTTGCCAAGGGTAGAGAACTTACTGTCAATGAGCAACATGTCAATCTCCTCAGGCATACCCTCCTCCACCAAAAGCGTCTCCCTCAAATCTCCCTCCCTCAACTCAATCCACGGCTCAACCTCCTCTCCCGCCTCACTCCAATGTTCTCTCGCCCTAACAGCTTTACTCGCCTCCTTCTCCGTCGCAATAACCTTCCCACTAACAATCTCCCCCTTTGCCTTGGCCTCAGTAACATTCTGTCCCACCGCGAGAGCAAGATACATCGTCGAAACACCAAAACTAGTACCCGCTTCAACGATGTTCTTGGCGTTGATACTCCGCGCGAGGAGATACATGAACTGGCATTTGTCTTGTTCTAGAGCGACGAATTTGTCGCGCATGTGGGCATCGCCTGAGGAAGACCATGTTTTGCCGGTTATGTAGAAGCCGTAGAGGAATTTGAAATAGAACCAGTATTGCGAGTAGGAGCGTTCTTGGGCTTCGGATGCGGCGTGGAGGCGGGTGAGGAGGGCGTGCAGGCGAGGGGATGCCTCGAGGGCTTGGAGGTCTGTTGGGGATGTCATGATGGTTAAGATCACTGGTGATGTAGAACAGATGAATAATAGAAGATTGTTTCCTTTATATATATACATGATGTGAGTCAATTTGGACTGAACGTACATGGATACGATAATTAAGATTGGTACGAAAATGGATCTTGGATCTGATATCACCGAGGCCGATCTATCATGACCGAACATGCCGGGCTGATAATGCTACCACCACTCTTGGTAAGTACTTACTTATACGTACCGAGGATATCAGGTTATAGTCAGATCTGTAATGTAGATTAGATCTAGTATTGGAAGTTGAAGATTGACATATCACTTCTCAATTGCCGAGTGTCCATGTCAGCGATTGTTATTACCGATAAGGGAGTAAAGGTTGCATACTAAGACCTGGGTTAATAATCAGAACTACATATCTGATTTAGATATACAGCCATGCTCAAGACGTTTATACAATTAAAGCACTTCTTTATATCCTCACCACTTACACGGCATGTGGGAAGTCTAAATCGCCAAGACCGAGAATGAAGCCCGAAGTTCGGTCCCGGCCCCGGGGTTTAGCTTCTGTCATGTGTAAGTGCCTTCCGATATCTTGTCCGGTTTCATTCCTTGACTCATAGCAATGACTTTACCTTCCATAGGCCTGAGAGCTACACGAAATGGAACCTTCTATACGAATGTCACTTACACCAGTTCAGTTGGAGCTATCGAGTTGATACGTCAAACCACAATATCTGCACAATACACTACTAACACCTCGATAAGGCCAGCCAATAACAAAAAAGCGGCCCGTCTACCTTTCCCCAGACTTATCTCTACCTCACTGAACAAGACAGCAAAAAGCCAAAAAGAGACGATTCAACTGTCTGAGACAGCTGGAGCAATGATGCCCCGTACTGGAATCGAACCAGTGATCTTCGCATTACGAGTGCGACGCCTTACCACTTGGCCAA